CTGAATACAGTAATAAGTCATTCCTCCTGGCTGTCCCTGCTAACCTTTCTCTGTGTTGTTAATGGGAAAGAATCTGGGCTCAGCCACTGCATGGTAGTAGCCTGCAAGGGAGCCAGCTCAGAGCAGGCAATGGGAAACAGGTGGGATTAACAAATGGAAAAAGTGGTACACGGATTTGTGTGGGTGCTCAGAGTTGAAAACCTGGTGAAAGTGGTAACAGAGGTGCTGGATGGTGGGAAGGATGTGCTGCCACTTTTGCCACAGGGGCTAAAAAATTATGAACAGCATCCCAAAGCCAGTTAGGAGACAGAATACTTGTTTCTTTCCAATAGCTGCAGGCCTTTGGGGTAATGAATTCGAAGAGTCTCCGTGCTATCCTCTAAGGGACACTATGTCTGCTTTCTAAACCTCTGGGCTTGCTGCTCTTTGTTCTGACAAATACCAAGCCTTGAAGAACAAGCAGAGCTTTGGATCAAAGTGCATGTTGGAAGCAGGGGGCTGACACGGCAGGGTGAGTCGGCAGAGCTCGCCAGGTCTTAATCAGGGATGATGTGGCACTGCAGTACAAGGCAGGAAGGTTGCCTGGATCTGGCAGATAACTGTTGTGAAGAGCACTGGAAATCATGGATTTCCACTGTGGGGGGGGTCTTGGGCTGAAACTGTTTTCACTGTGAGGGTGGTGAGGCCCTGGCACAGGGTGCCTAGAGAAGCTGTGGCTGCCCCATCCCTGGCAGTGTTCAAGGCCAGGTTGGACAGGGCTTGGAGCAACCTGGTCTAGTGGAAGCTGTCCCTGCCCGTGGCAGGGGGGTTGGGACTGAATGAGCTTTAAGGTCCCTTAAAGACCTGATGACATGATTCTATGATCAAGGGTGGGGCAAGCCCAGGCACAGTAGTGTCAGCAGAGATGTGTGTGGGCTGCATGATCCTAAAATGAAGGGAACAAGTATCTGGGAGGGAAACGTACATCCAGGACACGAGGAGACAATGTCTGTGCCATGACACATCCTTTCCTGCTGCTGATTGTCCCTTTCTGTACCATGATGTGTCTGAAGGCTCTTGTGTTCCTCTTGAACCTGTAATTGTAGTATAAGCATTCCAGACACTTGAGTATGCTAACATGGTGAAGGGAAGAAAGTGCCCATTGGATGACTGTTGGGCAGTCCTTGGGCAAGATCTCTTTCTTAAGAGTGTCACTGTAGCACCCTCCGAAGCCAGGCCTTAGTTTTTTCATTCCCGTCACTTTGACAAGCATTAAATAGCACTTCCACTGTGCTATTTAATGGACAACTTGGCTTTGCCATTTCCCAGCACAAGGCCACCATTAAGTGCACCTAGCCAGCAAAATGTTCTTTAGCGAAAGCATGGTGCTCTGCAGTACTTGGGTGCCACTGAGTGTGAGACCTGTTCTACTCTTCCTGTGCCCACCTGCACTCTCTTGACCGTTCTGCATAGTGGAATAACTTTTGCAACTTGTCTTCATGGTGCTTCCTCTGCCACGGCATGTGGTAGCTCCTCATCGTTCAATAAAGGGTGCTTAATATTTAATCTGACTTCTAGCTTGTGTTACAACTCCCTGTTTGAATGAGTGACTGTTCTGTATGGGTGTGACATGTATTTGCCAGCGTCAGTCTAAAGGAGCCTGTGCAATGAGTGGCATGCCACAAGGCCAGCCCTGCGTGTTCCTGGATGGAAGAAGGCATGTTAGGGGCAACAGAACTGAACCTGGAGTTGGCAGGACTGCATGAGGGACTGTGAGGGCAGGGTGGCTGTGTTGTGTCAGGATGGACCCATGCCACTCCAAAGCAAAGAGGTCCGTTAAGGTGCTCAGGCTATCTCCAGAAAGGTTGGCACTATCACCTGAGGTGGTGCAGCACCATGCAAGGGTGTCTCAGGGGCTACATGGATGATTTAAATGGTGATTTGTTGTTTGTCAGAGCCGTCAGTCCTGCAGCTCTGCCCTGCTCCGAACTCACTGTGCTGTGCTCTTGCTGCTGATTCCTCATGTGGGTTTCATTTCTGTTTCTCCTATCCTCTCCAGGGGTTCTCACTTGTGGCTGGCATGGCAGAGTACGTCCCGCAGCCTCCCTCCACGTGGTCTGCAGGCCCACAGCCCCCTCATGCCTCTGCCGTCTGCCCACTGGAGCCCATGGATCTGGGGGTCTTGGAGCAGCAAACGCCACCGATGCAGCCACCATCCTCCCCGGAGCTGGGCGAGGATGAGGATGTCACCTCCCCACCGGACCCTGATGTTCCCTACCCTGACTTAGCCCCGGTTGTCTTCTTCTGCTTGAAGCAGACCACCAGCCCACGGAACTGGTGCATCAAAATGGTGTGCAACCCATATCCTTTCAGAGCTGCCCCATCTTTTGCTCCCTTCTGCCCATCCCTCTCTCTCTCTGCCCTCTTGGGCCACCTGGCAGGTAAGGAATGCCATTTCCTACATGTTTAATGACCTGCTTTGTTCCTTGCTTGTGTTTGAACAGACCCTCAGCTGTTTTAGTGTGTGATCAAAAGAAGCTGATTATGAAAGAAGGGACTTCAGAGAGAGCTGCTGACAGCCCCAGTCACAGGGGGCTGGGTTCTTCCCATTCCTGGCTCTATTCTTGCCTCTGCCCTCGGTCAGAGTGTGAGCTGCTAGCTTCAAGAGTTGCTGCCTGACAAGCAGGCTGCCACCAGTGGTAGAGGTGTCTCCTCCCTCTGAGTGTAGAGGCTTTAGTGAAAGCTCATCTTGCCCTTGGTGAGGGAAGCAGCGCTCCTGGACCTCAATTGCAAGGATACCTGGATGACCCCTTGCCTTTCTATCTAGCACAAGTCACTGTCCTACCTATATCTTGCCGTGATGTCAGGCCAGGAACAAATAGCAGAATCTGTTCCAAGTTTGATTCTGAGACCCATACGCCTTGGGGGAGATCTCTGGAACATGAACATGTTCTTCCTTTGCAAAGGAGGTCAGCAATCACACACGTGTTACCATTCACATGTGGCCCCTGCATCCCAGCAGTGCAAATGATGATCAGCTGCACAACTCATTAGCACTGAGGCTGCGTGGAAGCAAAGGCTTCTGTGGCTGTTGAGCCTGATGCAATATAAAAAACAGGTGGAGGGCACTTACTGTTCTTTGGACGGGGGGACTCTGCATGGTGAGGAAGAAATAGAGAAGATGAAGAATTATCAGAAAGGTTGGTCTGGAGTTTTACTTGGACCTTTTTTTCTAGACAGAAATACCAAGTGATGGCACCTTTTACCTGTAAGTTTCTTAGATCCTAGTTAGGTTGGCATTATCTATAAGGTTGCTTGTTATAGATTTGATTCATTGGCTTCTAGAATAAATCTGAGTGTCTGGGCACACAGCAGAGACTTGCAAAATGTTTCCCAGAGCCTTTTCAGCTTCAAAAGTCCAACCCTGGATGAAGTCTTGAGGTGCTGTCAGCAACAGCAAATGACCTTAGATGGTTGAACACTTGTTTCAATTTCGAATGTAGAAAAAGGTTTGGGTTTCAGCTCTGAGCTCTTGTCTTAAAGTTCAGAAGCCCTTATAAAGGTGGTGTAGTCTTGAGTACAGTTTATGTCTGAGAACTTGTTGGAGGTTTAGGGTTTCTGCTTTCCTTTCTACTAGCTGCTCAAAGTTTAAAAACTTCACATTGAATTATGCATCGCTTCTCAACCGCTGTGGGTCTGCACTAGTTATCATGGCCCAGGAATCTTGTCCCAGCATGCGGTGGGCTCAGAATAAAGCATGAGAGATTTGTGTCTTAGTGAAAAGGCTGGATTCAGAAAATGAGACAAGAGTGATAGCCTGGGTTTGGAATGATGATTTGCTCTTGAATAGGGGAAGAAGAGAAAAGCTTGCTTGTCTTCCTGGCTAAAAAATCAGTCAAAACATTCTCTCCAATTTGGTACGTAGCAGGGAGTTTGCTTTAAGGTGTTATTCAGAGTTGAGCACTGTATGGGCATTTTTGTGTTTAAATGTCTAATTTTTTTTGTTTTAACCCTCAAAAATGTGTGCTATTTGACTCTGAAAATGATCTTTTCATAGCAGAAGCTATAGAAAGAAGGAAAAAGCCTCCATCAATCACCTGTTGATGTTATTACATCTGGCTACATGCGACACCAGGGGGCAAAGAGCAATGGTGGGGATGCTGGAAACCTTTTGAAAGGGTTGTTTCAGGCCTGTGACTTTAGCTCAGCTGTGTCAAGTTAGATTATTTGAAAAGCAGAGACTGAGTGGGGTGGTTTCAACTCCTCCTTTGATCCTCCCCACTCTTGTGGCTCTCATTTTGCCCAGATGAGTAGCTTTGGAGCGGACACCTTCAGCATCAGAGTGTTGGGAAAGCAGTGTCCAGGAGTCTCACTCCTGAGTGGCAAGAGCCATGAAGGGAGCCCCAAGCCCTAGCCAGGGCTAGCCCCGGAGTCAGGAGCGCTGACCACCACCTCTGAATGGGCAAAACGCTGCCCTGGGAGTGTGGTGACTGGAGCATAGTAGTAGTTTATGCAGGAAGAACCAGCAGGAAGGGCCCAGAAGCCTGGCAAGCTTAAGTGGTAAGCTCAGCCAGTGGTCATTGAGAAGGTGCTCAAGGTTGGGTTCCACCCAAGAGTACTGAAGAAGCTGGCAAAAGAGCTTGCCAAGCAGCTCTCCATGAGAAGGCTCAGGAGGAACCCTATCACTCTCCACAATTACTTGAAAGGAGGATGGAGTAAGGAGGTGCCTAGTTTCTTTTCCCAAATAACAAGTGATAGGATGAAGGAAAATGGCCTCAAGCTGCCTCAGGGGAGGTTTAGGAAAAATTTCTTTACTGAAATGGTGCTCAGGCATTGGGACAAGTTGCTCAGGGCAGTGGTGGAATCACTGTCCCTGCAAGAGTTAAAAAACTGTAGATGAGGCCCTTAGTGACATGGTTTAGTGGTGGCCTTGGCAGTGCTGGATAGGGTTGGACTTTATGCCAATTGATTCTATGGTTCCCTTGTTTTGAATGGATTATGGAGTAAGTCATTCGTGTAACTTTTTTCATAGGCTGGTGTCAGATCACTTACTGTGATCTCATTCCTGGCTGTGAATGAGCCCCCTTTGTAAGTGATGCTTCTATGAAAGTCTTTGAAGAATTTATACAGTTGGCTGTTTTGATTTTTTTTTTTATCTCCTGTCTCAAGTTTTTAATCTTTGCTATATTGAGCTATTTGGTTTCTTAATGCACTTCCTAAAGTAGGGGCTGAGTCACTGTCACAGGGCAATGCCTGTCCTTTCCTGAAGATTCAGCAAAAACGATGGGGCATTAATTAAAAGCCTGTTAATCCTTCTCATCGACTTTCTACTAGGACAGAGCTTCATAATCATTGTTATGGAAGTATTGTCAATGAGACTTAAAATGGAAGCTCTGATCTTTAAGGACTATGTAGCAAGTTTTGTAAGCACAAGGTCATTAACCACTGCATTTCAATTTAGGTAATTGCATTCTACCTACTTAAATCCCCCTCCCCTGAAGATTATTTTTCCTTCCATGAGCAGTCCTGCGATTTTGTTATGTGCTATTAAACAACTGCCATATTCTTTTGCTGCAGTGCAGTATGAGGAGAAAGAACCACTTATATCCCTGCTTTAAAATCACTTCTGGATGCATATGAGTGTATAAATGTGTAATGCTGTTACTGCAAAAACTGTAGACTCCGAGTCCCTTTTAAGATAGGGACAAGTTCCATGTGAACCTTGTGGTGTTTGTCCTCAAAGAGAGTACTGTGCTTTTTACCATAGTGCTGTGTGGTGAAAAGCAGCCTGATGCTTTGAAGTTAGGTGATTACGTATTTCTGGGGTGGCCTTACATACAGTGCAAATGAATGCTTGAATTGTCCTAATTTATTGGGGAGCAGATTGTTTTAAAAATCCTGATTAACGTTTTTAGATCCAGGTAACTGCTGTGATTGCAGTGCAATGCACACCTGAAGCCTGGCTTGGCTCCTGCTAAGTGTGCCTATCCAAAAGGTGTCTGGCATGGTGCAGCATGTAAGCAGCCTGCCAAGCAGTTTGTTGAGGTTGATCTCTGTGTTGATTAACAGGCAGAAGTTTGACCGCTCTGAGTTGTAGACCATGGGGCTGTTACAGCTACAATGTTAATGGAGTCAGTATTTGAGGTATGGTTATGAGAGAGGCTGTAAGATCATTGTGGGCTTTTTCCTTTAATAAAACCTAACCTCCATGTCAGCTAGGATTTCAAGTTTAGCTTGGAGGAGAAATGGGGTGAAAAGTGTGAAAACATGTTTCTAGAACAACTGTGTGGCATTCATCTTATGAATTTATAAAGTGCTTCGGACTCAATAATGAACATGCCACATGGCACCATTGCAAATGGATCCTGATGCACTTGGCAAATTATGAGAAGATTATGAGAGAGATGCTTGGATGTCTGCATTGCTGTTTGACTCCTTGGAGTTCCATAAAGACTTTAGATTTCATCCATCCCTAGGGTCAAATGCAATAGATTTGGTTTGTCTTTTGGGCTTTTCCTTAACAGAAATTCTTGCCATTCCAGGAGGCGCAGATCTCCCTTTGCTGTCCTATCTATAATATTGACATGACAGTGAGAGCAAAAGTGAAGTGTGCTATTAAAAAAAATCAATGCTAAAACTGTAGCAGTAATGAGATAGGCTCTGCAGTTCACCACTCTGTCGTTTTCTTGCTTTTTCCTATATACCAGCCCCTTCCCACATTCGTGAAATGTGTTGGCCATATGGGCTTCTGTTTTGCTCTCAGGCAGCAAAGTGTTGCGTTTCTAGTTGATTTCAGTGATGCAAGAGCATTGGGTCAGGTCCCAGTTGTACAAAAGCTTATATATGCACTTAATTTTTACTACCAGGAGTTGTGTTTTATAGGATATAGAGCAAGGTGGCTTCTGAAATCTTGAAGCCAGTTTGACTGCTTGTATGTACTGAGGAGCTGCCTTGTAGCTCATATGTATTAAAGATCCTCCAAGTAGGGGCTTTACCATTGTACTTGACCCTAAGAGTCTTGTTTCCGGGGGTAACTTTCCTGTAACTTGTACTTGCACATAGACCAATCTGATACACTGCTTGGTGCACAAGGAAACAGGGCTGGCCTTGGGCATATTGATGGGGAACTGAGGAAGCCCACAGGTTTATTCCCTACCTCCTCCCTGTTGGGTGCTGCAGATACGATTTATGTGCAAGGCAATTGAGCATAGAATGGCTGGCAATGGGAGTAGTGGTGTTTTGTGCTGGCATTGCCTATGAGAGCAGAGTGGAAAATCAAATGCTGAACAAGCAAAGAAAATCGTGTGCGTGGACTGGTAACCGACACTTGGTGACACTGAGCAAGTGATGCCATGGTGCATGGAGACCCTGTGCTACCAAACCCACTGATTTTTCAGGTGACACACATGGCTGAGGGGCTGGCATTGCTCATTAGTAAGCTTTGGTTGAATAGGTGTGTTATGTATTACATCCTGCTGGTAAAATAACAATTTGGGTAACTTGGTTTCGTGTGAATGAAACTTCTTGTGCAGATTCTATAGTATGTTGTACTTCTTTCTGCCTTAAGTTGTTGCTTTGTGTACTCTTATACCCTGGATGCAGTTTTCATAACAACTGGATGTAGTTAATTAATAAGCAAACATCAGCTGCAAGATTATTGCAAGTCTTTTACTAGTTGATGTTTGTCTTAAGGCCTGAACTCCTGTAATCCTCTGAGATTTACTTTTCTTTTTATATGTGTACATTTATGTATGTGTATATATATAAAAAATAAAGAAAAAAAGGTTCCTGCTTTTCTAGTAATTAGAGAAAAGCTTCTAAGTGTGGCCATAAGGTAGAATAATACATCAAAACTTGAGTTGCTTATGAATTTTAAGCAGCATTCATTATTCTTGAGGGCCTACGAATCACGGCTTTTCACTCTTGGGGTCAGCAATTTCAGCTTTTATGTGCATACCTGGAAAGAACTAAAATGCGTGTTATTCCTGCTTCGCTATTGTAAAGACAAATCTCTCATGTCTGTCTTGCAAATCCAGCTCAGAAGACAGGTGAAGAGTCTGACATGTGAGGACTTGACAGCTTTGTGTTGCTCTAGGTAACTAGGGAGATGTTGTGACTGTACCCCTAGGAATGGGTTGATTGCTATAGATTATGCATCTCTAGACCTCTTTCCAGGCAACAGATACATTTGTATACCCAAGATCCAACATATGCAAGAATTTTTTCTGTAAGAAGTAATGTAATCTCTCTGCAGTCCATAATGTGCTAAATCAACTTTACAGTTGCTTCTGTTGTATGGGAAACTGAACTGATCCAGAGCTCTCCGGGGGACATGTGGTGCTGGTGGCATTGCTGTACCTCTGGGCGTGTGCCTTATGCTTTTCAAGCTTTAAAATGGGCAAGCCTGTTTTAGATCCTGCTGGCTTTTCTGCCACTTGGCCAAGCTCCTTACCAGTGGAATAAAATTTGCTATTAGTAAATAAGGGTGACTTTTAATAAGACAATTGTCCATAAACTTGATTAATATTTGAAGACAATGAACGTATTGGGCCAACACTGCCATGTCTGCAGGACCAATACATCCTCTACTCCTTCTCCCCTTTTCTGTTAACAATGTGTTTTAATGCAGGCGTTTCCGTGCTTCTGAACTGACCCTTAATTTCTGAATTCTCCTCTTGGGAAGCTGGCTGGGCTTCACCCCATCTAACTCTACCAGTCTGAAAACCAGGCATCCAGGCTGTCTCTGTAGGTGAATGACACACTGCCATCTGTAGCAGGAAATTCAGCATGCTTAATTTAACCCTGCCCTTCAGAGGGCAAAGTCAGTAAGTGAGGGTGCCTGTTTTCCCTCTTTTAGTAGAGAGGGAATTTCCAGATAGCAGGCTATAGGGATTGCTGGCTAGAATCCTGGGTTGCCTTTAGGATTGCTATGCTGTTTGGTTCCCTAGGTGCCCTGAAGGGTTGGAAAGGGAAAGGCAGGGAGCAGGTTTAATTTTGGAAATGGTGCAGCCTGAACCTTTTAGAGTTTCCATAATAAAATATCAGGCAATCTTAGTTTTGTGGGAGGAGGGGAAGGCACACCATTTGCCTGGACTCTGGGTTGGGAATATGTAGTTTTGCAAGGACCAGCTTTTTTGTTTTCCTGGGATAGAAGCCCTGTTTCCCAGTTAGGGGGAGCATGGCAGTGCTCAGGACATGCATAAGTTGGGAAGGAAGCTGCCTCTGCAAAACTGGTGACAAGGGAGTGTTATTAGCGTGGGTCGTTTGATGTGCAAGTTTACAATGGGAAGTTTAGAGGGATCAGTTGCACGGCCAGCCGTGGTGTAAATGGAATTTAAACTCCTGCATTGTCATTAGTAGCACACAGGGGACAGGTAAGTTTGAAGGCGATTTGCGTGCTTACGAATGGATTGGCTGTATATACGCAATTCCAGGCAAGTGTGCAGATATAAAGGGATGAGGTCTAAATCTGGCTGGCTTGCAAGCTGGCCCTGTATATCTAAGCACAAATGCTGAGACAGGATATCTGACTGCCTCCCATCCCCTTAGCTTATTCTCTGGAGCTTGCTTTTTTTATGGTGAGAAGTCAAAGTCCACGGTTTGGAAGTGAAGCAGGACAACAGCACAGACAGAGCCAGAGCTCTGACTGTCTGGAGCTTTAATGTCTGTAGGGTGTAACAAAATCAGAAATAAGGCTGAAAAAATTCTTAGTGCATCCCTCCTGTCTTCATGCAGAGATCAGCATTTTCTCTGTTACTGAAGGATAGGTTGTTACTACTGGAGGAAGGGCCAACTGCCAAACCAGTCTCCTTTCAATATGTTGGAGAGGGGCCATATTTTCTTTGGTGTGTGTATGTTGTACTGCCCTACCTGGTCTAGTGGAAGGTGTCCCTGCTCATCGCAGAGGGGCTGGAACTAGGTGATCTTTAAAATCCCTTCCCACTCAGACCATTTTGTGATTTGAAATTCTATTCTATAAAATGGTTTTATGAAAAGCAATAAAGGACCTGCTAATATTCCATACCATGATGCTTCAGGAAAACTCTTACTGCAACAGCTTTTGATGAGGTATCTCAGTATGGTCCCTGAATTTCTAGTCAATGAATGTGGAAGGTGTGGGGAGAGTAGGCAGGAGAGAGTAGATGAAAGTCACAGCTTTGCCTTGTGTAAATCCAGGAAAGCAGACCTACTTGCACCAGCTATTGCTCTTCAGGCTACATTGGGAAGATTGGTCTTGCCTTGTCATAGCACAGTGCAGACTGTGGTTCATGTCAACTTGGGGTGCACCTGACAGTGGCAGGCCAGAAGAGAGGGGTGATGTGCTCAGCTGAATGTGGTAGCCGTGCCTGCTTCAGGGGACCTTCCCATCCCTCCACACAGTGCGTTGCTGAACTGAAACAAATGCTGAAAAAGCCTTCTGGAGCATATTGTGTTTATTCACTGGAATATATTTTTGCCTTGGAGATGGGAAACATTACCTCAGTGAAAAATGGTCAGTTTGCCTTGTTCAGCCTTTGTGAACACTGGAGCAGGGTGAGAGAGGGAGCCGGAGGGGGTTCTTGGAGAACTAAAGGGCAACAAAAATATTCATTTTGAATTTAAGACTATAAAATACTCTACTGGACCTCCAACTGCATGTTCTGTCTTAATGTGAGTTAAATAATGCAATTAACAGCTAACAAATGATCAGCTGCCTATCTGGGGCTTGACACTCTTCCCACCCAGCCCATAGGGAAGGGCCTGCAGCCAACTGAATTTGTTGTGAGTGTAGAACTTGACAGGAGCTGCTTCAGGTGAGAAATGGTTAACAGTTGCAGCTTTTCTGCAGTAAATGGCCTGCAGCTGGTCCCAGGTTGGTTAAGGGGAAAGGCTGCATGGAAAACTTGGCCCTTTTTGGACCTATGGAGAGAACAGGAGCAAAGACTCTGCCAAGCTATCAGCCTCTAAGCTGAGAAGATCTTCACAGTCTTAGAGAGACACTGTCTTTGGAAGGTGAAGGTGGAGGAAGGCTGCAGCCTGGTATAAGAAGGACCAGGCTCAAGCTTGCACCTACTTCTGTCCTGTGCTCACTTTGCCCTGGTCAGCGAAAACCACTGGTTTTGGTCATCCCAACACACTTTGGCCTATGTCCTTCCCCAAGTCCC